ATTTTATTTTCCATTATCCCTAAAACAAGAATATTCTCTCCATTGCCAATGGGATTTCTGATCATCAGGGAGAGGGAGAGGTGATCTTTTTTCCTCCGCCGCAACACCCTGTACAATCTGGGACATGCTGCGAGCACAAGGAAGCTGCCTGGTGAGACATCGGAAATTTCTTTCTGTGAATCCCCTACTTGGAGGTTCACTGGCTTGATAAAACCACTACTTGTGACTCTTGGTGGTACCATGACCAGTAATTTATTTCTGGCGATTACACTGTGCATGAGAGGTAGAACGAATACGAACCTGGTTACGTACGAGCAGTATGGAAAGTGAGCAAACATGTTTTCGAGGCATAACCAGTCGGTAAGTGCCATGAACCTTCAAGTCGCGCCATAATCATCCGCAAGTCTGCGGAATGATCTTGGTATGTCTCACACTCAAAATCCCAAACCCCAATGTTGGCTATACGTAGTAAGCACCCAAAAAGGGAACCAGGTGTTTGAGAACGTTATGGGCCCCTCTGCTCATCAGCTCCAAACGCGCATATGTTCCGTCAAACCCCCCTAACAAGCTAAGGCCTATAACCCTTGACCCCAAAAGCCTAAACCCGGAAGCCCTATTTAGAGAAAGCATTCAGGCGCCACTGCACCGGAGGAGCACGCAGCGATAGCGGGGTGTCTCCTGCAGCACCTACTGTAAGACATCAATGTTTAGGGTTCAGGTTTCTCGAATGCAGGCACGTGTATGCACCTTGGGACGTGTAGAAATTGGAAGGAAATTTTGGGGTATGAGGAAGTTTCCTCTTCAGAAACCTCCTTTGTAGGGACCTCCAGCCTTTGAAATCCCTACATGAGCTATAATCTAAACTCCTAGCCTCCTTAACAACCTCTATGATACTCCCCTATATAAGCCGCTTTAGGGCTCCGTTTGAGGAGTTTAGACTATAGCTCATATGACCAGAGGGTCTCTTGGGGCACCCCAAGTTTTGTTAAACCCCTAAACCATAATCCTGCTGTTTATGCAAAGAAGGATAGATCCCCATTGAACTCTTCCAAGGGCATCCCTGGCTTCAACAACTGGAGGGGTATATCGGGGTTTACATGGGGGTTATATAGGGTTATATGGGAGTTTACATAGGGGTTATATAGGGGTTATGTTTGGGGTCTATATGGGAGTTTACATAGGTGTGATGTAGGGGTTGCATAGGGGTTTATATAAGGATTATATAGGGATAATGGAAAAGAAACTGGAGACTACTATTTGGGGCTTTGGGATTAGGATGCTACTGTCCAACTGTGGGCGAGGATAAGGTGGAATGGCGTGTAATGAGGATTATTCCTGCAGCGGATCCCCTGAACCCCTGAACCTTCAATGCAACCGTAGATGCAGTTGTTGCTTCAACAGAATACTTTTTAAGAGACTCCCTGCCAGCAAGCAACTCCAAACCTAGTAGCTACATTGCAAAGCAAATGAGGTTTAACCAGGTATTGGGTAGATGTAGCCTGTAATCCACAAGCTAATTGACGTCCCAATACACAAATCTTTAGCAAGTTGCGTTAAGTGAGACTATCCAATCTGGTAGTTTCCCTCTTGTTCAGCAACTTGGAGCACATGTTCTGCTACAGTCGACACCTTCTTGCTATAGTATATCTGTACATACTACTGAAGCAGATGGGACCTTATTGGGTACGGTATTCAGGGCGAACCCTGCGTCCACCCGTTCTGTTCTAAGACCAGAACACGGACAGCCTGCTCAGAAGTGTTGCGGCAATTCGAGGAGCTGCCACTCAAACGCTTTTCCTAAGCGATGCAGGGTTTAGGGCTCTAAACCCAAATTAGAAAAGCTGGACAAAAAGAAGGCTGATAACCCAGCAGCAGCAGCAAGAAACTCATTGGCCAAAATATCTATCAAGAAATTGGAATTTCGAATAATGAAGACAAGCTACAAACAAACAGCTGAGCCGCCGTCATTAAAAAAGAACTGTGGCAGATCTGCGATTCGACTTCTCACCGTTTTAGGGGTTACGGCCTTAGGGTTTAGGGTTTGGGTTGAGGACTTGACTTCTCACCACAATTGGACTGACAGGGGAAGGAACAACAAATCGACATGCCGGCTTTGGAATTTTAACCCATTCGAGTTTTTGACTGGAACTGCCTTGTACTAAACTTGCTGTACTAAACTTGCTATCACGGCTGACAGTGAACTGCATGCACAAATTGTGTCAAAAGTGCACCACAGGCAAGACTGCAGTCGCGAAGCAACCACGCCAGCTTTGACTGCCAGTTCCTTGGTCACCAGATTGTTCCAAAAGGCAACACCAGTCACGTCTGCCCTCGTGTTATATCGGGATGTAGGGAAGTATGTTGGGGCGGTGTAGGGTTAAAACCTGGCGAGACTCCAGTAGGTAGGTGAGTTCGCACATGTCCAGGACCCCACCGCCTTGTGCTCCACAGTCCTTTGCCAACCTGGCGGATCCAAGATGAAAGTTGTGCTGCTACTCCCTACAACTAAAAACCCTATTGAACCCTGCTATGGTCGAATCATCCATCACCACCGCCGCCGCTGCCACCACCGCCACCACCGCCACCACCACCACAACTACCATTATCAATTATTATACTATGAAATGCGCCGAGCTGCTCAGGCACGGATGCAAGGGGTGCCTTAAGCAGCTGTTGGAGGAGCCGAAGAACCAAACAGCGGAGCACCGGTACGTTCAAGGTGCCCCTTGCATGCACCCAGGCACAGGGAGCCACTAAGTTGCAGGGAAGAAAACATCTTTGAAGCAGCGCCCCATCTGATCGGATGTCTGCTGCTTGTAACACACAGGCCGCAGCCTTGCGAAGGCAGTCAAGAGGGGCATGCTCCAAGTATGGCCAAAGCCAATGTCTTCCCAAGTCAAACTTGCAAAAAAACTGGGCAGCTTCGGAGGACTCCTCCACGTTTCCTTGCTGCGAGAAACAATAAGGGGCGGCCACATGCGAAAGCACCTCACAGAAGTCCTGGCCACAAGGAAAGGGTGCCAAAAGCCTCAACTCCTCCAAGCAGGCAAGTGCTAGGGACAACGTCAATGTCTGGGTCTTCCGCTTCTGCCTTGCCCCTTGGCGGTGTGCGGCGTAGGAAGCCTGGAGCTGAGTAAAGCTGGCCGCGGGAAGCAAGAAATCCGCGCTCTTGCCCGAGCCCGGAGCTGCTGCAGAAATGCTGTGAACAGTTTTCAGAATGAACGCCACAGAATCAAGCAGCTCTTCCTCGTCTGTGTCGGCTGGTATCTCCAAGAAAGCTGCAGAAAATTCTTTGAACGCCTTCTTCAAGACAGACGGGTCTGTATCTGTTTCCAGTGCAGAGCTCTGCTTTGAACGTGCTTTGCACGTCTTCTCAGCTTCGGGCTGCTGGCTTCGGCTCGACGAGGGCAAAGCGTCTCCACCGATATCGTCATCATCTTCCTCCTCCTCCTCTTCCGAATCCTCCTGCCTGTCTGGCTCACCATCTGCAGTTTCCTTGGCCTCCGCACATAGACAGCGCTGGGGATCTATGGGCTCCACTGGAGCTGGCATCATCTTAGCCAGCTCTTCCTTGGGCGCGACCAGCCACTTCACAAAGGGGGAGACGCACTGTGGGACCACCTTAGGTATCAAGTTTCTGGGGGGAAACTGCAGAAGTTGGTTTCGTCCCCCTGTACCGCAAGAACGCAGACTACATTTCATCAAGAACACTCTCCTCTGACTCAAGATGCTGCTTACCCTGCGCCCTGAAGGCCTGCATAACTCCCGGATCACCCCCGCATCGCATGCAGAGACTTTGCAGCTTTTAAAAAAGCACGTCTTCTCCCCACCCCAATTCCTTTGCCGTCCATGCGCACCCCATAGGTTGAGTGGCAAGGGGTTCGGAGACGCTATGACTTGACTAACCAACATCCAAAAAACTCCATGATACAGTCCTGGCAACTAAGTCTGCCCTGACCGACTGCAGGGTTGGCTCGTCACTGGTGAGCTGAAGGTGGGACTGTATGCCTGAACGACGGCGTGGAATCGTTACCTCCACTTGAAACCTCCCCTCCACACCTCCCCCAATTGTATACATACTTATATACATATACGTATATGTATATATACATCGCCTGAGACACGATGGTACTTTATTGGGAGTGTTTGTGAATCGGTTGGGATGGGAGGTTGGGTTTATGAGAAAGGCTTTGTTGGGCTCAGGGCTCAGGGCTGCGAGCTTTCCAGGTTTTATGCGCAGCGTTGAGATTCCTACTTGTCATGTCATCATCCAGTAGGCATGGGGTTTGTTTTCAAAATCATCCCACCCATAGAATCTTCAAGGCACAAGGATCTTGACTGCAAGGGCTCCTCAAGAAAAGCGGAACTTAGTTTAGCAGTTATGGTTTTTAGACTGCTAGGCGCAACTTCCCCTACTTCCTGCACACTCTATGACCACAGAGCCTTCCAAACCCTGAACCCAAACACACAACGCTTCCTCAACCTTCCACAGACCCACCAGCCCCCAGCCTTGCTGGCAAGGAATGAAAGAATGGATTCGGGAATGTTTTCTAAAGGATTCTGTGACAGGGACAACTCTTGAGGTTTGCTCATTCATCCATCCCTCCAAACCACCAGTGGGGAAAACGGTCTCCATACGCAAGCTAGGCGCCAGAGGCTTTTGCCGCGGGGGCGTCCTCCTCCTCTGCACTTGGGGCTTCAAGGCCTTAATCCCTAAGAGTACGGTTGGGGTGGAGTACAGTTGGGGGCCCATTTCTGCTCTTTAGGTTTAGGGAAGGTTTGGAGTGGATCATGTCGCGCGGGGCTGCACAGGTTTACATATGAGTGATGACGAAAAGCTCGAGCATGGGCGCTAAAATTCTTCCTAATTTTCTATAGGTCGAGAAGCTGGAATCTGTGGAGCTATGTGCCTTTGCCTATATGGGATGCCAGTAAACATGTGCTGACGTCCTGTCTTGTAACCTGTCCATGAATCAAAGGACATACTAGGAACCCATGTCATCATTTCTCAGGACGGAGTTTGAAACGAAGTCACCAGAATGAAGATTTTTAGCACTCAAACAGAGATCATGGTCCTCCTCCTCTTCATCTTCCTCCTGGTCCTCGTGGTGGACCTGCCAGGGTGGCTTTTTCCCCAGAGCTTGGCTGTAAAAGTCGGAGTCTCCCCAAACTGCTCGCAAGGTTGCCCTTTCTGAGGCGACCATGTCTGAAAGTACCAGGATATGAGTGCCCTCAGATGTCTCCGGAACAAAGGTGCTGGGATTCTGCCAGTTGCTCCCACTCGGGGATACAAATCCAATCAATACTTCCTGCAACCGCACAAAGTCGCAACTTCTCCCAAACATCCTGCTTTTGGAATAGTAGGTCAACGTCCATGCTGGGCGCACATTGCCGGGAAGCTTCCTTGCATTGTGACGCTGCTTGTATCTACTGACCAGGCCAGAACACTGCCACTGTTTCAGCACGCAATCTGTGAGTTTTCTGACCTCAGCAGAAAGAAAATCAGGCTTCCACCAGGCCATGTAGGTCTCAAACGGCGAGAGCAACAAGCACCTGGCAACAGAGCGGCCTGCCTCACCCCGATTTCGACCCCGGTCCGCTTGGACTTGCTCGGAGCGCAAGGTGCTGACCAGTCGCTGGTTCTTCGCGTCTGCGTGGAGGATACTCCGAATACGGTTTCGGCAGTAGTCCTCGGGGAAGCCTGTGAGCCGGGCCAACATGGGCCAGGCTTCAACAACACTGGAAGCTGACGTGCCGACAGGGTATGGCGACACCTTAGCTGTCCCATATCGGACTCTGAAAGGAGCTCTGGATTCATGATGGGTTCTCCTGTTCAAACAAAGTATAAGATGTTACCAATTAAAACCAACTAAATAGGTAAGACACTGGCAAGCCCTGGGCACGCTGTTGCAAAGGGACCAGGCACTCGGCTGTGGTCAGCAGCTGCAGCCAGGTGGCATCATCCATCTCATCCCTTTGCTCTTCCTTCACTTCCAAGTCACCGAGTTCCAGTCCGAGTCTGCTGGCTTTACTTGGAATCGCTTTACGCAATCGCTTGACCCCTGGGACTTTAGGCGGCTTTGCTTGCTCCAATCGCTGTGCATAAAAGTCCGGCTCGCAATAGAGGCTTTCATCTTCAGGTAGAAGCTGGCCGTGAAATTTGAGGTAATGGTCCGCCACGGAATTCTTCAAAAAGCAGAGATGCCCACAGACATGGCACTTGAACCGCACAGCATACAGCGATGAGAAATCCACTTTGGCCCCGGATGGGTGAGGACCGGCAACCTCCGTCAGCTGCCGGCAGTACTTGATAACCCGCTCTGGCGGCACCATGATCCGACGGCTCAAGGCAGTTACTTCGGGCGACTTCGGCGTCACGATTCGCGTATCCTGCGCGATGGGCGAGTCATCCTGTCGGTTTTCGTTCTTGTGGGCCTGGTTTAAACAAATGTCATTGAAGAACTTGTTAAGCGAAGCCCTTTGATGAGGCGCGAGCCAAGGATAGCTTTTCCAATTCTTGCGCCGGAAAAGCTCAGGGAGGGAAGCGTTCTTTGGGGTGGGCACAATTCGCCTTGGTCGTTTGTCGTCCTCCCTGCTTGACCCACTTCCCTCATAATCTTTGGCACCTCCTGGTTGCTCGCCCGATTTGTCACACCATGCCTTCACCAGGTCGCGAAGCCTTGACCAATATGCATCCACAGCACCGGGCTTTGCAAGATCAAAGCTAGCAAGTCGCACAGGCGGGTCTGAATCCAGGTCGGTTGTGAAGCTGTCTAAGTGAGCATAGCGATTCACTTTGTAGACTAAGTGAATGGCATCCCCCGTCACACTGGAATTTTGCCCGTCTGCCATGCTTACCAAGTTCATCTTGACCAGATAGACCATGACTCTGCGGATGCTCTGCGTTGTCCTAGATGCCCCGGCGCACGTGGTGGGCCCGAGCAGCTGCTTCTTTATGCTTGGCGACACCTTTCACAAGTCAATGCTGAACCAACTGAGTCCTTCTGACCCTTGATAGTTCAGCCCCCCTCCCCCCTCCCCAGAAAAAGCCTCAGCATTATCATTCAGAATTGGCTTCGGGAATCTTTAGAATTGCGGAGAAAAAAACAAATGACCATGAAGTTGGCCCTGGCCTCGCTGACAAGAAGATTCGATCCAGTGGCCAACCTTGCTGTTGCTTAAGCTTGCTGGTGGATAGTAGGGAAAGGGATTCTAACAGGGTAGATATGGGAGTTGTAGTAGGGCGTATAGGAACATGATCCCTATAAGATTCCTAAATAATGTATCATTCCCTACTTAACCGGAACCTTAGATGGCTTTGGGCCTCACAAACGGCGACAGTTGCAAGGATGATGAAGTTGAGAACCCCATCTCTGTGACTGTTGACACTTTCGCACCATGGCGGGGGTGGGGCAGGATAGCACTGGGGGGAGGGGCTGCGAAGTGAGAACCCGGGTCCCACATATGTGTATATATATATATGTATACCCATACTGCAACCAACCAACCAACCAACCGTAAGTTAAGCGGGTGGGGAAGCCGCTACCGCGATCCCTTTAGGGTTTATAGAGGTTAGGTTTATAAGTATAAGGGGTATTATCCCCCAACAATGGAGAATCAGATGGAAAAGAGAATGGGAAATTAATGGAAGCTGCGCTTATACAGAGGCTCATAGGAAGTAGGGTTTCCCCAAATGAGGAATACCTTTAAAGAGATTATAGGGGTTGTGCAGGGATCATGTCTTTGTATATTGAAGTTTAGAGCTTAGGGCTTCCCAACATTAGGGGTACCTCTCTAGGGGCCCCATAGAAAGAAATACAATATTTTGGGATTAATTTGGTGTCTATATTGGGGCCCCCTATCACAAACTATTTTTTGCTGGTATAACTTATGAAGATTGATACCCCATGCTTTCTTCCTCGACCCTCCCCCCCTCAACACCAGTAAGCAGCAGGTCGTCCAGCTCTGGGTTGTAAATGCCACAACCAATAACCTGAAGAAAAACATCCAGATCCATCTCATCGACGATTCTCCTTGGACTGCTTGCTGAGGTATCCTACAGCATGCCCCGTGCCGAAGGTACATCTTGTGACTCAAAAACCATATACAACCTTAACAACGATCATGTCGCGACGGTGTCCACTGCGCGTCGGTATTGAAGCCTTGCTTGCGAAGAAGCATCCCATGCAACAATTGGATTCGGGAGACCAGGGAGCTGTTGAAACCGTAGTGCTGCAATACCTGAGCATGGCCAAAAGACTTTAACAGCCTACATGCTGCGAGTAACAGCTTTCCCTGGAGCTAGCAAACCTTGAACGAAATCGATACTTTCTAGGAGCCCACCTTCTGGTCCAAGGTCCGTGGCACTCCGCCTACGGCTTCCAATTTTCCTGGCTGGGTCACACGCTCCGCCACGATATCTTCAGAGAGCACCCTTCGACTCATAGGTTTCCACGGTGGAGCTGAAGGTCCCTGGTATCGACATGGCCACGGCTGATTTAGCAAGGCTAATGGCGAAGGTGGTTTCGGTTTCTCATTGACCCGCCGGATCTTCTGGAAGCGAGTCTCCTTGCGCATCTCCGCATTCTGCTGCGCCACCTGCCGCGCAGAACTCTCTGTATGAGTTGGCTTCCAGAATGCGAACTCAATGTGGTCAGTTTCAGTCACGGCAATGCCCACACGCTTCTCAGTTGAGGCAACCGCTTTCAAAATCTTAGCCGGTGTCTTGCTATCCATGCATCCCAGCACATCATCCTGCATTCCGGCTTTCCTCAAATCAAAGGTCGTAAGCACTCCAATCCGCTCCAACAGCTCGCTCGTACGCTGTATTCTTCGAACAAAAGTGACATCAATGCGGCCAGAAGATCGGGTCTTGAGGGCTTTGTTGCCGCGCCCATCGCTTAATCTGAGAGCATGTTTCTTGCTTGCTTGCGAAATGTTGCACATGTCGGCGCAGGCTTCCGGGGAGTCAAAGTAACGATTTGCATGAGCCTTCCCATCGCTTTCGAACACTCGAATTACCCTTTTCCTCTTCACCAACGTATTTAGAATGCGCTCCGCTTGTTTACGGCGTGTCCCAAGCATGCTGCATACATCCGGGCCAGTAATCCCGCGGCCAAATCTGCTGCAACAACGGATCAGATCCTGGGCTTGCTGGGCCACGGACCTCTCAGATGATCGCAAACATGCTGCAGTTGGAAACGCTTGCGCAACTGACTCGGGAAGTGGATGCTCTTTTGTGGCAAAATGCTCATCTGGGGCCGCGGGTACCTGCGCCACGTTTCCAGCCTCAGTGGCTGGAACGTCGGCAATTGCAAGAATTGGCTCTGGCTGTCCTGTATGGCCTGGAATGCAAAGGGCATCCTTGAACGTTCTACTGCCAGGGTCCCATGCACGCACACACTCTACCTTGCCACTGGATACCATGTCAGAACGCAAACGCTGGTAGATGCGGCCTGCTGCTCGCCTTGTGATGTCAGGCTTCAACCCAGACTCTTCAAGCACATGCGCCAACACAGCCCGCAAACCACCTTCGAAAGCTACCTTGGCCTCAGTGGAGTTCAATGTGGATAGTATCTTGTTTGCCAAAGCCCCGGCAGACGTCCTCAACAGAATTTGGACTTCATTGTGTTCAACGGACTCTGGATCAAAAAAACGTGAGAAATAGAAGAGGTTTCCATGCGAATCTGAAGCCGTAGCTTTGGATGGAAGTGTCAGAACACCCACCAACAAACCTGCCATCCGCAAACCCTCTAGAGGGTAAAACAAATTGGCGGCTGTGACATTCAACTCCGATGCCATCATTGAGGCTTGACAGCCTTTCCAACGCCGCTGCGCCACAAGTTGTAAGCATCGTCGAGACAATTCATTTTCAGCAATATCAGGATGAGCATCCAATCTCAAGCAATGCCACCTGACAGCGTCAGGCACACTCAGCACTAATTTACCTTTATTCCGCTGGCTTCGTGAGCGTCGGCATTCGCGATCATCGGAGTCTTCTGTTTCTGCATCATGGGGTGGCTGATCATTTCTACGACCATGTACGATAATTGGGGTCTTGTTGCTACAGATCTCCGCCCATAATGCTGGCCGCGTGTGATGGTCCATCTGAAATCCGGCTGCCCGCAGCCTGCACAACAGTTTCGGCCATGAAACTCCGGGAGGACCATCCCAAGAAATCTCTTCCACAGATGCCTTGACCAAGGAAGTCAACATTGCATCAAGATGCCGAAGCCATTTTCGGCTACTAGCTTATGCTTAAGGCGTTAAAACCATGTGAAAAAAACCGTTCAAAATGCCGCATCATGCAATATGGCTACAGATGCCGTGAGATCATGAACCCTGTTGTAAGAATCGAAATTTTCCCACTTGTAGCGTACATCGTAAAGTTTTCCCAACGTGCCTGGAACAATGTGGGTATTGCCATGTAAACTCAGTCCATGAACCCACAAATTGCCTTGGGCAACTATGTCATGGAAACAGACCATACTTTGTAGGCACGATGCCACTGGTGAACTAAAGCTGCGCGATGCAAGACTGCAAGGGGGTTGGATGGTCAATTGCAAAAGCTTCGAGCTGAAGGGTTGAACGCAAGTTTGAAAGATTTGCAAACATGGGCCGCTTCAGGTCAGGGACTTTGGAAGTTCGAGGAGTCCGTGCCTGTTGTGTGCAAGGACCGAGGGGGGAATGTTTCATGTGCAGTCTGGGCATTCAAGGCCACATCCAATCGAATCCAACCCCGCTACCAAACATCGAAACAGGCATGGCGATATCTTCAAAACAAGAACACAAAGCAAGGTTGTCAGCCCGCATGCACACTGCCATGCACCCAAAGTCTCCGAGAATGACTGCCACCTTTGAAAGTGCCGCAACAACCTCATGGATCCCAGGCAGAGGTAGCTTGAGCATGCCAACAGCTCGTCGGTACATTGTAACGTGAAACAACATGCTGCTGGAAATCTTACTGGCCTTGGGCAGACTGCAATGAACATTTCTGCTGGGTGGCTGTTTTTGCTTCCTGCACAACCAAACAGCCGAATGCGCACTGCATTTCCAGAAACGATCCACCACGTACCCATCCACGGCACGCACTGTAGCAAGCAAAAACCATGTTGCACAACAAACCCCGCGTCACACCTATCAGACCTTGCTGGTGCCATGTTCGGATGGATCGATTCGGCTGGCTATGGATTGCAGAGCCTTGCTGCCCCTCCACTTGACGATTTGGTCCCGGATGCATTTTGACTCCTGACCTTGTGGGCACATGGTAGGCCAAATGAAATAACACGAAACCTCCGAAAACAAACGTTTGCAACTGACCAGCTAGGTCAAGCTCGCGAAAGCCAATGAGTGGACCCAACCAACTCGGTCTGGTTGAGTGGGTGCAGTGCGCCCGTCCATTCATTCAACCACGCCAAACAAGTTCGGCTAAAACAGCTCATGGATGGTGACGCCGCCTCCACACGACAACCTTTGCTGCAAAAACTTCTGCAATCTTGAATCCGTACATGGGACGGACCAGGCACCGGTCAACCCGTGGATGACACCTGTTAAAGAAAAGGGGGAGCATACCGCAAACCAGGCAAATATGTCGCGGTTGTGTTCTCTTTATGGTACACCCTCAACGAGATGATCGAGCAACAGATAAGTCGTCCACGTCAAGCTAAATCATACCAGCATCGACCCCAAACAGCCGAAGCGTATGTTCCAAGCGCATCACCGGAGTTTCACAATCCCACTCCACCGTGATGATAGAGGAAGGACATGCATGGAAGGGTCAGGCCAAGCCATTTATGTGGATAAACGCTTTAGGCCTGACCCCGCAGCGGTGGGCTTGCGACCTTAACTGACAGGAGATTAAGGACTTACCTGCCTAACGTTTTCCCGGAACCCCCGGCAGCCAGGACAACAACAATGCCTTGGCGCATGGCCAAAGGCAGCCTCGACCGCGGAAGCAGCACTTCGCGCATGCAATTTGAAAGCATACGCAGCTTCGGTGAGGTGGGACGCGCGGTGAAGGCACGTGAGCCGCTAGGGCCAGCTTGAGACAACAGCGGCGTGCGCGAAGCCGGGTTGAAGTCAGGGGTTGTCGCACGCTGCCGCGGCGGCAGCTGCCATCCCCGCAGGCGGTCACCAAAGTTCCGCGTCGCCGATCATCAGGGCGGGAATATTCGATCAACTGATGCCAAGCTTGGGCGTCGAATGCCGCCCAATGCAAACAAGATTGCAGGGCCAAGGTGGCGGCCACGCACGGAAGAAGACAGCCTTCCGGCAATCTCCTGGGCCCCCAGCAGCACCATCTGCTTCCCAGGGGTTCCCAAACTTAGAAATTAGTGCCGGCGAAAACCCCGAACAGCATACATGCAAAACACGCGAATGAAAGTGCGAATGAAAGCTATGGTTGGCGTTCAGCGCTTGTCCGAATAGAATGCGCAGAAAACACATGGAAATAATTCAAAATTTACAGCAACGATGTACATACACATATAAAAACATTGCCGGCTGGATTTTGTCTTTTTCTGGGCTTCGATTTGGTAAACTTGAACATTATGGAATGACTGTCTGATTTTGGCATCGCTGAATTCTAACTTAAAAATATCAGCACTGCAAAACATTGAGGCAGCTCAAGATGTTTCGAATCTCAAAAGTTTGGGGTTTAGTTTTCAAGGGTCGAAATGTAAGGTTTATGGTGAGAATGGAAAGATTTTGATCCCGTGCTTTCACCTGCCCGGTTTTGGGGCTTTACGACAGCCATGCGCTTCCAATGCTGGTCTTGAAGATGGACAACTGAAAAAGGTGACGCGTAGGCGCTGCCACCAGTCGATCAGGGAGAGTTGAGGAGTGGTCGAGGTATTGTTTGATGCCTAACAGATCCTGACGCCGATCTAGGGTTAGACTCCACCTCGGGGATATAATACGCTAGAGCAAGTTTAGAATCTATGTCCAGCCACTGGAGGAGGTGGGCATCACCTATGGTTTTTCTACGTGGCTACTCTATCCTTATAAGCTGGGGCAAACACCACATGATGTTGTGGCTTTGTGTGGTCTACATGCATAGCCTGGAGGAGTAGTCGGAATTGCTGTGACAATACTACTTGAGATGGCAATGTTGGTCTACCGGCCTGCTTCCAAGCTTCCTGATTGGGTATGCGCGAGTAATATGATGCTCTTATACCAAGTACTCTGCGGAGTAAACGGCAATACCATGAATCTAGTTTGTAAAAATGGTTGGCTTGCATGGTAGGTGTAACGACTTCGTATACTACAGTGCTCACTATGTTGGCTTGGAAGATATGGACCTTGGATGTTCTGGGAGGGGGACTTCTCCATAAGTGTTTTAGTTTGTTAAAAGAGGTTTTGGCTAGGGCATGTCGGTGATGTAGGGCAGTCATTGTGGGTTTGGTTTAAGAAACTTGGGAGCCAAGATATTTGGCGGAATCTGTGGTGGGGACTGGGTTTCCATTAGCGAATTGTGGGGTCTCATTTTGGTACTTAGGGTGTCTCAATAATTCTATTTTTGTAAGGTTGAGGAGTAGTCGGTAAAGCGACGCCTCTACTTGCAAATGCTTAAGGAGTTCCTCTACTACATTCATACGTATGTCGAAAAGTAGCGTGTCGTCCGCGCACTTGAGGTCATATACTGGTTTTCCTACAGACCATGTATTTGCCGGGACCCCGTGGCCGAGTAGTCTGGTATCCACGTCCGATACCGACAGGACCATAACGAATAAATAGGGGCTAAGCGGCAGCCCTGTCGTATGCCGGTGTGAGGAGTAGCATGAAAGTGTTCTCCTTACATTCGGACTGTATAAAATTTAATTTGCGGTCGGTATATATGTCCTTTATGAGGTTTCGGGGTTTAAGGTGTACGTTTGAAGGAGGCAAAGGGTTGCTGAACTGTGACAGTCAGACTCCCCTGTGTCCCCGTGAGGAACAGAACGGTGCCATGAGGGCTGCCAGTTCCTGTGCTAGCGAGGCGGGATATTCCGCAGTGAGGGAGCTCAGGTAGGTATTCCCTACCTTGTATTCCCTACCTTGGCGTTGGCAATTGATTGATGAACGCCTGGTGCTTGATTGCATGTGCATGCAGGAGAGGCAATGGATGGAAATGAGGCGCAAAATGCCCATGATTTATACACGTCCAGGTTGTGTTGGCATGCTGCGACGTAAGTGCAGTGGGCGCAGAGCTCTCGAAGAAGGGTGATGTTATCTGCTTGCAGCCATGCCATGGACGAAGGTGGTCGTTCCATACCAGTGTGGCTGTTTTCAGGGTAGATAAATGCAGCCAAAACATGCATGAAAAAAAACATGCAACGAGCGTCATGAAACACGTGGCAACTGCTGAAAAATGGAAATTTTTGGGTGCCTGTAAAATTTAGAAGGTTGTGACAAATGATGGAAAGTGATGCAAACCGATGGAACATGATCAAAGAACATGGACGTGATGAAAACTGAAATGATGAAGATCATGAAAAATGATGGCTTTCAAATACCGCACGATTGCAACTTGCAGTAACCTATCCCAAAGGAAAAATTTGTCGAAAGCAGCACGCATGGCTTTGCGCCGTAGTAGCCCCTTGTCCGGGGCCCGGCGCCGTGCTCTGCGAAAGGGCAGCTGGCTGGGGCCGATCGGCTCGGCCTGCGCCAAGACGTGATCCAGGGCGGCTAACTGGCGCTCGGGGGGAACAACCACCATCTGCGGGCCCAAGCAACTGAGGAGGGGCGGGGCACTCGAAGAGCACGGGCACGGACGAGCTGACAGACGAGCAGAAACGAGCTAACGGACGAGCTGACGGACGAGCTGA